AAGAAAGAAAGGAAAATCACTCTTAAGCAAGCCTGGTAGAGATTTTTTATAAATTTGAGTGGGAACCTGAGAATGCTGCAGTAATCCTGGCAAATTAATTAAAGTAAGAGATAAAGAAGTCAGATGTAGTTATTACATAGGATTTTTCAAGATTAAACTGATTGTAGTAGATAAAATAAATTATTTTCTAATAAGCTTTAATATTAATTTTCTAAAGTGGAATGCTTTTGAGACTTTCTTTGCCTTTATGATTAACTTAAAAATAGAAATATAAATTCACATAGCCTGTTGTATGTCTTGTTGCTGTCTGCACTGATAGAGCTGTTGCTCCTGTCCCTGAAATGGAAACTCTATCTCATTATCATTAGCCTGTCAGTATCATCACCAGCTCAAAAGAGCCCCTTTATCTGATCCTCAATGCTACTAAATGAAAGGCAAGAATGCCTTTTTCTATTTGGCTAGTACTAGTATCTGAGAACAGGGCATGTTGTATGACAGGCATAAGGTCACTTCAGTTTTGGGCTGAGTCTCTGCTGTTTTAAAAAGGTGTAATAAACCACCAGTATATAACATATATAGCAGCTAACCATTCATGAGAATCTTCCCTGGACTTTCTTGTCATTGTAACTTTCTGTGTTGGGTAAAGGCTATTCAACTCATGCCTTTTGCTACCACTCTTAGTCATTCACTTAATTACCAAAGCTTGAATAGTCTGTGAAGATTGAGCAAATTTTTGTTAATTCTTCTTGCCAGTGCAATTATAACAGCATAATGGTAATTTGCCCTCTTTTTCTCTGTAGTCTTCTAGCTCCTAGTTCTAGAGGTGTTTAAAATTAGTGTAGCTACTTAATTTTTATCAAATGGCTCCCTTATCAGGATCAAGAACATCACAAAACAACTCTTCATTTTATGTTATGGTAACTGTCAAAACTTGTTCCTTGGGTCATGATATATTGGAAAGGAAAGGTTAAAAAAAAAAGAGGCATTCACTCATACAGTATACACAATTTTAATAGCAAAACTTTCCTGTACACTGTACTTTATTGTTCCCTTCCTCCCAAGCCCTCCCTTCCCCTGCTCCCTCACCCCAGGTTATGTCCCTTCTCTCCCACCCATACCCCCAAAATGGCTCTCAAAGGTGATTTGAACACAATGCATTTGGGCTGTACTTTTGAGTCTTCAGGTTCATTGTTGAAAAAAAAAATTACTATAGCATTCCTTATGTGTGAATTTTTATCACTAAGGGAAAAAAGATTAGTTGAAAAGAGTAGCAGATGGAGCTTTTTAGATGTTTGCACCTTCAGTATGAAAGCTTAAACAATCATTTTTGTATTTGTTTTGGCCTTATTAGATCATGAATTTGCCTCAGGTTAGATGGATGTGAATTATTATTTGTCCAGCTTTCTATGCCTTACCTCTCAAGAAGTTGCTTATTGAATAAGATATGAAAACTAGCCCAAAGTGGATTCTCCAGAATGACCTTTAATTTTATTGCTATGTTAGGAAAATGATAATAGTAAGGAGCCTTACACTTTATATAGGTTCAGAGGTGTAGTAAAGCTTTTGTGATCACTATTCTTAGTCTCAGAAAGTATGCTTTAAAAATTGTATTCTCAGTAGTTTTAAATTTTAGGTTAAGACCTCAGTGCTTCAGCAGAGGAGTCTTTTTATTGGAAAGATCAAGGAAAGATTCAAAAAGCCTAAGGCCTATATGGCCTTAGAGTAAGCAGATGGGTTTTCATAATTATTGAAATTGAGAGATTTAGTCAATTTTCTATTCATTAAACTGGCGCAAAAATTAACTTAGGCACAGTAGGAAATTATGAATGTTACTGCAGATTTCTGGCTTAGAAAACTAGTTATCGTTGCTTTCAGTTGTTGGCAGTGGGTGCTCTCTCTAGCTCAGCTTTATGAATTTATAAATTTACTGGCTTTTTTTCCTTTTCAATAAAGTGATTGAAATCCCATATAAGCTCAAGCTCTCACAAGCTCAAGCAATGTATATAAATGATTGTAAACTAGCTCCTGGTTATTAGGTGTGTATAACATCCTATCATGGGTTTGATTCTGTTTTCAGTGACTATGTAGTAAAAATGATATAAAACTTTTTGTGTGGGAGAAATTAACATAAAAATTTTCATTTGACTTCAATTAACAAAATACAGAGTTGTTGTTTGACGATAGCCAGTTTGTGAAGAGAGAGAGAGCACAGATGAATAGCAACCTAATCTCTGGTGCTGAAGCATAAAGAGATCAAAATTAAATAGATTCATGCCTTCTGTGGGTTACAGGAAAAGAAAGGCGCCTCATTAGTGAAAAAGGAAAATAGGTATTTGGTTTGGTTGTTCACATTCTCTCCATGCACTACAAAAGGCAAATAAGATCAATAATTTTTATCTTTTTAAGATCCACTTGAAAAGTCTCTCTTGGTGGTCTTTGCAAATCCTATTCCTCAGAGGCTACAGAGCCAGTTTTTCCTGTCAGTTCTCAGAATTTTACCTGTGGATAGCTCATTTGCTTTCTGTGTCTTGTGGGACATCTATGCTGTTTCTTAAGAAAAAATCAGTTTAACTAATTTGTGATCAAAATTATTACAAATATTCCTGTTGTTCAACACCATACAAGAAACCTTCATTATGCCTAGAGCAACTCTTGTCATGATCAGAAACAACAAAGCAAACATAGTTGCCCCTTAGGGGTTATCAGTCAGGTTCCGATTCTGCTTTTTGGAACCAGTGTTTCCTTGTCAAAACAGTTTCTGCCCTTGCACCACAGGCAAATACGGTATATAGTTTAGGAAGAAATGGGGGTGATGTCTGCCTGCTGCACGTCAGTTGAGCATGATGGAAGCTTAGGAGAGTAAAAAAAAATATGGCTTTACCATATTAATGTAACTTTCCAAAAGGCAATTGTATTGTACCATAATTTATAATCTTCTTGTTCCTTTAGTGACTTAGAAAAAAATTGTAAGGGAGGGGGAAAGGGAAAGGTATACAAGCCTGTCTTGCTCTAAAAGACTATAATGGTTAAACATAGTACAATTCCATGGGATAGCATAGTCTGACATTCTATTTCCTAATAGGAAAGACTGTCCTTGTTGAAGAATATTATGCCTATGGACAATCTAATTGAAGAACAAAAAAGGAAACTTTTGGGGGGTTTAGGGGGAGAGGATCTGGACATCTACGTATATGCCGTTTCCTAGGCAGCAAATGTCAGTGGTTTAAAAAAACAAACCACACTTTCAAATCAAGTCAGTGATTTGATCCTACAGTTGCGTGTGATTATAGATGCATCATATCTTGTTTACAAGAAAATGTTAAAGTATGAATTTGGAATTGGCCTCTGAAACCCAAATTTCTTACCAATTGCTTTTTTTTTTTAAATCAAAACTGAAGTTAAAACAACAATCGTTAGGTAAGTCTTTTCTGTGTGAAAAGTTTGACACCATTAGCTCCCAGTAATCATTAAATTGTTTAAAACTATATTAACACTAAATTATTGGGTTATTCTTTTTAAAAACAATTCAGCTGTGTGTACAGAAACCTAATGGTCGGATATTATTGAATCTGACACACCAATGCATGTTGGTACATATAACTGTCCATATCTACCTTACTTTTGCCTGTTTTTGTTAACTTTAATTAACCTGGTTTGTTTTGAGTCATTCACATTCTATAATGTTTGAATTTTCATTGCCTTGTACCATTGGTACCATGGCATTACTATGTGGCCACATAGGCATATACATTTTTCCTGACCGACAGGTTATTTTTAAGTAACACACTCACCTTTATTTTCAGAATGCTTTGTTCTTAAATTAATCTTTTTTTTTTAAGTTTTCCTTCTTGAACATAAAACTCAGCATTTTTAAGAAATGATTCTTGATAGTCAATTTGTATTCTAACACATCTTGCTAGCCAGTTATTTAAAATGTTTTTTAAAGACTGAAAAACAGACAAAAGGAAGGGTAGGGTATAGAGTTTAAACCCCTCTCTTGGGACAAGTGGTCATGACAGCATTATGTGAATTAGCCTTCTGGCTAGATTAAGAATGTCATGGGATTATGGCATTGACTCATTTGTGGATTCCCCCGTTATACCTCCCTCCCCCCAGTTAACCATGGTTTTTCATTTACACTGAAATGTAAGGTTGAGTATATTAGTATTGAAATGCCACTTTGCCACTCCATTTTAAGTAATTGTCTAAATTTCACAAAAAGATGTGTAAAAGTAGAACCAGAGACCTTAATGATTTAATGTAATTATTTAGTATTGATTTAACTGTAATGAGACCATTTGATAATCAGTTGAATTCTTTGTTTAAGCATCTGAACCAAGCCCATTCAAATTATATAAAGTGTTCTGAATTTATAATGTAAGCTCTGACATATACCTACTAACCTAGGCAATGACTGTGGATAGACTTGGGCAGAGAGGCTTTTAAATGGGCCATTTCTCATTAGATGCAGAATTCCACTTACATGTGACTGTTGATTATAGATCTGAGTCAATATCAAATTATAATCACATATGAAATCTTTCATTAAGTCTTCCTTTATGGTTAGTGAGCCAGCTGTAATACATGAGATCAGATAGCCACAGTGGAACAGATTATGATCTGTATTCTTTCACGCTCACTTCTTTTCAGATCGTTTTCAGTAGAAAAAAGTAGCACATTGGAGACTTTAGTATAAATGTTTACACATGATGGTATAAGTACATAACATGAAACATCTTACATTATGTTGAAGTGAGCATTTTTTGATTTCCAAATAGGAGTGCAAAGTAATGTAATCATTGCTTCTTTTAACACTTAAAATATGGTTCCATTTAAAAAATAAAAATAAAAAATACTTCACCACTTCAAAAACTATGTCTCCACTTGTTTTGGAAAATTAGGCTTAATGTCACCATTTGTAAAAATTAGTTATGTATTTAGCCCCCTACAATTTAAAATAGGTTACTTATCTGATGTAATTTTTGATGACTTGTAGGTTATTATACTTCACATTCTTTATATGGCAGCTGCTGACACTTGCACTGTCCATAACCATTAATGATGATGAAGGGTCCTTCATGGGTGGGTTCATATTCATTATATGGTCCTTGGTCTGACATATTTGACATATGGAGTCGTGTTTGGGATCGGAGTTGCCTGTGGTTCTGAATCATTGAGCACTGCCTAATTCTTCTTAAAGTAGGAGGGCAGCATTTCCTGGAGATGAATACTATAAAAATAATAAAAAAGAAAGAAAACAATAAAGCCATTGTTCCTGTAATTACTCGCTGAGTGAAGATGGCATTGTCTGGTTCAGGAAAGTGTTCATCAGTAGTAACTGCTATGCCTGCAGTAGTTGGGATTTCTTTGTCTCCCACATGGTAACTTGATGAGCTTATTCTTTTTGTGTATTCAGTGGTTGGATCTTTATAACTTGTAGCCATGGCAGTGACAGTAGTTGATAAATTCCAGCAAAGCTGAAATCCATAAACTGCATCTAGAATATCCTCTCCCTGGGTGTGGTCTGGGCTGTGGCACAGTATTGAGTGCTCCCACCGACCTTGGAAGCCACTCAACCATGTGGCCAGTGCACATATTTTGGGGCTGCATTCCCACAGATTGCCAGAGAGGCCAACTGTAGTTAAGGATCTGAGAGAATTTAAGATCTTGGAATCCAGGCTGTGTAGCTTGTTGTTATCCATTAGAAGTATTTTAAGATTAGGCATGGTCTCAAATACTGTGAAATCGATGGCTTTGATTTCATTTCCAGTCAAATCAAGCTTTTCTATGGTGCCCCAGGTCCACTCCATCCCACATGTCAAGTTGCTAATTTTGTTCCACTGTAAGAAGAGCGTGTGCAGACTGCTTAGCCGTAGGAAATGAGCAAAATTAATCTTTGTCAGCTGGTTGTGCTCTAGGTGAAGCTCTCTCAGTTTGATTAATCCTGCAAATCCATTGCGTGCCAAACTTCGCAAACGATTTGTGCTCAAATCCAGAAACTCCAGACTACGACAGTCCCAGAAAAGGCGAACAGGGATGGTCCGCAGGGAATTGGAACGCAAATGTAAGGTTTGCAGCTTCCGAAGGCCATAGAACAATTCTGGATGCAGAGATGATAACTGATTAAAAGACAGGTCCAAATTTTGCAGGTTAAGCAGTTGACTAAAAGTTGTGTTTGGCAAGTAAGATATTTTGTTGGAACTTAGGATTAATTCCTTAAGTTTATAGAGTCCTTGAAAAGAATCTTCTTTAACTGTTGAAATTTGATTATGGTCTAAGTGGAGCCAAGTAAGTTGACTGAAGCTTGCAAATTGATCCCTTTCAAGTTCAGAAATGTGATTGTGCCTCAGTGACAAACCTAGAGAGCCCTTGTCAGTGTTGTTTGGCACTGAGTGAAACCCCTGAGAGTCACAGTAAAAGAGCAGCTTCTCGCAGCGGCATTTTGGTGGACAAGCCATGCCCAAAGCAGGCAGCATTTTTAAAACCACACTCATTGCATATAGCGCTGCCAGCATAGGAGCCCCTAATGGCCACTTGAAATGTAAGCCTGCAGAATATAATTTAAGGAAACAACAAGATAGGATATTTTTTATCAGATCATATGGACCAAAAAAGATAAGCACAACATCATGGTGAAAGCACATAACTTACTGTTCATGCACTGCAGAAAATCTAATCCTCATAGACTAAAACGAAACTTATCCTTTAAAAAAAGATGGCTAAGGTAGCCCCTATACTTAGCCTTGCTATTTGAAAATAGCAAATCCAAAAATATATTCAAATGGTTTCATTTTAAAAATTTTAACAACCTGGCTTTTAAAAAAAAGAATGCTCACTGCTTAAGATTTATAAATGCATAAACTTACCCATTCTTTTGAGCACATTGGAGGTTGCATTCAGTCATAGACTCAAAGCAGTGAGTCTGAAAAAGGCTCGAACATTCAGTCACCTTTGAATAATTTACTCTTTTTCAGTATCTTAGGATATCAGGGTAAAATTGAATCCACCAGGCTTTTTTTTTCCCCCTTAGGATATTCCTTTTGAATTCATTGGCTTGATTTTCTGTGACAGCTCTGTAATTCTTGAATCAGTACTGAATATAAGTTTTATTTTTCTCCTTCTGCGTCTGTTCGGCTGTTTAATTGAAGCTTTGGTCTTCCTTTTGCACAGCTGTTAGTTCTCTTAGTCTTAACTTGTTGATGGCAGATGGGTAGCTTATTGCAGCGAGAAGCTCCTGTAGTAGCATGAGTGCATTTACTGAAAAGCTTTTCCGAGAAACGGTACAAGAATGGATTTGCTTATGTGCTGCGACCACACAGAACTGTATATAGGCTGACGTCACATGGTGACGTCTCTTTTTGTTTGGGTTTTCCAGAAGCTTTACAGTTATAAAGCATTGTGCTGCATATTGTGATCGTGTAAGATCTCTAATAATTTTTTTATTTTAAAGAAAGAATGGTTGGGGGGTGGGTGGGATGGTGGTAGGGAATACCTCCAGCAGAAAAATATGTTGTATTCCTTTAGTATAGGAAATAGGAATGAGTCTTATGATAAAGGCAGCATTCATGAAGGCCACATAGCTGTGAGCTGGAATAACAAAGTGAGGATTTTTAATGCTTGCTAAAGCCAGTATTAGATAGCATCCTCTGCATAAAAAGATAGCTTTAATGGGAATGAGCCTGCACAATTTGTGTAGTAATGTGGAGAAATTCAGACCATTCAAGGTGGTAGCTGCTGTTTTATTCTTCTGAATCTCAGTTCTGTTGTCACACTTTAAAATGAAGAGTATAAAAATAATTTGTCTTGATAGATACTGTTAGTAAGTTAAGTAGGCAAGTTTCACTGTTGAATCCTTCAAATCTTAAAAATCCTAATCCAAGAATAAAGGATAACAAAAGCAGTTTGCAAAAAATGAGACGTTTAATCACTTTGATCCTTGAGATTTGGGAGATAACTTTTCCTTTAGCAGAGTTGATTTTTCTGCTTCCCCCTCCATTCTTTCTAACAATAACATGCTGGGCTTTAATGAAAAATACTGCTAAATTTATCCTTTATTTGGTGTGGTGGTGGGAGGAAAGGGGTGGGTTGACTCAGTAGTTTTAATACCATAGACCCTCACATTTTTAGAGTGGAACAGAACTGTTTAGGACAAATAAAAGGACTTAACTTAGTTTTATCTTAGTCATTTGTGTTTACCCCGGAATCTTACAAATTATTTAAAATGGTGATCTCAAGGGGTGGGGGAGGAGGGGAGAGGAATATAGCACTGGAATAATAGGGCATTTGCACATTTAATAGCTCCCACTGGCAGAATTCTACAGATGGAAGAGCTTACAGAACTGTCTTTGTGCTTAATACTGGCTGTTGTTGGAATCTCTGATGAACATAAAGGGGTACCCACATTTAGAGAGAATTTTTTAATGTGGCAGTTTTTCCTTAATGTAAGACATTTTGGCTTGTCCATTCATTTCTCTCTTATACGTATTTATATGAAACTTTAATGTTGGGGTTCTTTTCTCCATAATTGATGAGGTAGTCATGTATTGTCCCCATTTTAGAGATAAGGAAACTGAGGCTGAGAAAGGTTAAGTGACTTGTTTGCCATAGATGATAGAGCCAAGGCACAAACTCAGATCTCTTGATTGAGTCCACTTTTTCCCACCTGAACTATATCTTTTAATTGGCCAGACCTTCGTTTTTTAAGAAGATATAAATGCAAATACTATTTCAAGGACAAAATAATGTGTCTCTTGCTCCACTTAATCCTCCCTGCCTGCTTCCCCTGTACCTCCACTGTTTTTTTAAAAAAAGTTAACAATGTTTTTTGTCTTAGCCCTGGAAAGGAAATTGTAAGTTTAGGATTTCAAAAACCAAACTATTTATATATGGGACTCTGATTTTATTCAACTGGAGTTAGTGGAAATGAATTTGGGAATCAAGGTACTTGGGTTCTGTCCCAAACAAGCTGTATAACACTGGGCAAAGTCACTTATCTCTTGGGGGATGGGAGCTGGTGATTTGTATGATTCTGTGACCATAGGCAAACATAGTGATGATACCTTCTGATGAGTCTTTTTCTAGGTAGTGTTAATACAAAATCTACCACTTTCTTTTTCTAATCTTATTTTTCTTTGTTGTCTTTTGTTTTTGTGTCACTTTCATTTCTCAGTATATCCCTCCATGCAAAAGCTGTACCTGTAACAAAGATTAAACAATAAAATCAATCCAGTTTAACCAGCTAAAACTTCTCCTACAATGTATGCAGTCTTCTATATCCATAGTCCTGCATATCTAAAAAGAGCGGGGAGAGAGATGCATTTTCTCAGGAGCTAAGCTTGGTAGTTATAATTAAACAATCAATGTTCAGTTTCTTTCTCCTCTCTTTTCCTTCTACATTTTTTTAGGTGCTATATATGTTGATTTCTTGCTTCTTTCTGTGTTGTTTTATATATATATATATATATATATATATATATATATGTATATATAGCTTCCCGTGCTTCTATCAGTTCTCCATATTTATAATTTTATAATTTGTAATTTATATTTTTTTATGGTATAGTAATATGTTATGGTACATCCACATACCAGAATTTGTTTAGCCATTCCCCCAGTTGATGGGCATCTACCTTTTTCTTGTTTTTCCTGCCACAAAAGTGTTTTTTGTGAGTGTTTCAGTGCATTTGTTTTAATGAGATAACAAACATTTGATAAATATTTCCTATTGAAATTGAATCGATGAGTCCTTTCTCTGAACTATATAGAACCTTCTATCCAAAAGTCTAGATAGACTATACTTGGCTTTCCTCTTCATTCTCCAGGAGTAGATAATTTTTCTGAAAAGTTCCCTTTCTGCTTTAGGAAGCAGTTTTTCCTGTTTCTCTTGTCAGAAGACAGGAGAAACCTGCTTCTTTCACTACCTTCTGAAGAATGAAGTTCTTAAGCTAAGGCAAGATTTTATCTTTTATGCTGCTTTTTGGTAGAGTGAGCACTCCAGTAGCCGTTCAGATAATGGAAATCCTCAATTACTACTTTATCATCATGGTGCCAGGATTCTAGAATTTCTTATCTAATTACTCCTGTGTAGGCTATCTCTTTTTTATACTTTTATGACACTTCTACTTCTCTTTCCAATCATCCTCATACATATTATTGTTTTCATGTTTTCCCTTTCTGATTTTTGGAGTCTCTCCCTCATCATGAGGGAATTTCCTTACCTTAATATATATTATTTTACCACTTCCTTTTTTCTTTTCCTTTTTAATACATACCTTTCCAGAGCCATGAACTCCATCTTACAAAGCTTTAGTGATCCTTCTTAACTTGAATGTTCCTTCTTGTATTAGGTAAGTTCATCCATACTGTGTGCCCCCTTGTGTTTAGACATCTGAGGCAGAGGTTATTTGTTTTTGTTATTTGTCTTTTTATTTACTGGGCCTTTGAACTGATAATCTTCCTGGTTTGTACTTGTCATCTGTATGATGGCTAGTTAAATGATGGCTTCACACGTGTACTCACACTCGTGTGCACATGCACATACACACTTTATCAAGAGAAGCTGAAAGAGACTGATAGTGAATTTTCCCCCTCTCTCTTTTCAGTATAAAACTTACTTAGGTTCTCATGACTGAGAAAACATTTCTTACCAACTCTTATTAATTTGTATTCCATCTTCGGGTAAATTAGTCCATCATTTCCCTGTTTTAAGGATTGCACAGAGATCCAAATCCTGTTCTTAGATACTTTCTTACTAGAATGTTTTATTTCTCAGCTTCTCCTTTCCCTTCAATAAATAGCAGACATGAAAACATTCTCTGTGCCTCTGAAGATCTTTAGCTTCTCATGCAGGACTTCATAATCCTGAACATTGCTTTTAGATTTATCTATCTAGCTATCACTGTCCCTACATGGATCGCCAGTTAGGGGTAGCATTTGTCAGGTTTGACAAGTCTTCTAAAGGTACCTGCTACTTCCTGTACGTATGCCCTAGGAAGAGAGCAGACCTCTCTTTTTCATGTGAGGCACCACATATCTCAGTAGTCAGTCACCAACCAACTACTCATTTCCATCCCCTGACCATTATAGGATAACCTTTTTCAGGGTGCTACCTGTGGAGCCATGCCACCTTTCCTTGGATCCATCTTCTGAGCAGATCTAGAGATTTGCCATCCAAAGCAGTAGTGCTCAGACTTCATTCAAAGTGTCTTCCTTTCCTCCCATCTGTGTCATATTCTTTTACTGTTTGACACCCTGACATCAGTTGGTTTTCTCTTCCTTCATATCCTCTTTCTTGTATTCTCTCTCTCTCTCTCTCTCACTTTTGTGAGGCAATTGGGGTTAAGTAATTTGCCCAGGGTCACATAGCTAGTAAGTGTCAAGTGTATGATCTGAAGCCAGATTTGAACTCATGTCCTCCTGACTCCAGGCTGGGTTCTCTATCTAGCACACCACCTAACTGCCCCCTTATATTGTCTTTAAAGTATTTCTGCCCGATGAAGGACCAGGTCATTCTCCCTATCTCCAAATAGTCTGGAGAGTAGGAGAGGTGACTTCAGTTTCTGTACCAGAAAGGAGACCAGCTTTGCACTTTGTACATAAATAGTGGCTAATTGGCAGTGACGAATCACAGTGATAACTCTGCAAGTCACTGCAAAATTG